TTGGGGGTTGGGGCAGCTGAGGGCTCTTTGGGGGATGGAGTTGTTGGGGCCCCTTTGGAGGCTGAGGTTCTTTTGGGGGATGAAGTTGTTGGGGCCTCTTTGGGGGTTGGGGCAGCTGAGGGCTCTTTGGGGGATGGAGTTACTGGGGCCCCTTTGGGGGTTGGGGTTCTTTTGGGGGATGAAGTTGTTGGGGCCTCTTTGGGGGTTGGGGCAGCTGAGGGCTCTTCGGAGGATGGAGTTGTTGGAGCCCTTTTGGGGGCTGGTGTATCTGAGGGCTCTTTGGGGGATAAAATTGCTGGGGCCCCTCTGGAGGCTGGGGCTGTTGGAGAATCTTTGGGGGGTGGCATAGCTAGAGGCCCTGTGGGAGATGGAGTTGCTGAAGTCCCTTTGGTGAATGGGGCAGCTGGGGACTCTCTGGGGGATGAAGTTGCTGAGGTTCCTTTAGGGGAAGGAAGGGACATAACTGGGGGTTTGGGAGTCTCTTTAGGAGATGAGGTTGCTGGGCCCCTTTTTGGGGAGAGAGGAGCCATAGCTGAGGGAGTGCAGGCCCCTTTGGGAGGTGGGGTAGCTGGGGCTCCTTTGGGAGAGGAAGGAGTAATAGCTGGAGGAGGAGGAGTCTCTTTAGGGGATGGTTTTGCTGGCCCCCCTTTGGGGGATGAGGAGACAGCAGCTGGGGAAGTAGGGGCCCCTTTGGGGGATGGAGGAGTGGGGGAATGCTTCTTGGTTAGTGATTCCTTAGGGACTTCAAAAGAAAAACTGGCCTCTGGAAGAAAGGAAGCTTCAATCCGAGAAACAGGAGATGAGAGATTGCCAGCAGGAGTATCAGAGACAGCGGCTACATTTTTAGAAACAGAGGGGGCAAGAGTTAAGGTAGTAGAAGTAGCCGAACCCTTCTTGGTTGGAGGTCTTCCAGTCTGAGGAGACACACTAGTCCCTAAAGAAGATGGGGACTCAGCTAGGTAAGTTCCTTTGGAAGATGCAGCAACAGAAGCACCAACATCCTCAGCTGGGCATCCTTCAGGAGAGGAGGCCACAAATGCCAATGCTGAGCTATGAGAAATACTATGACTTATCTTTGTAACTTGAGGATTACCAGCTGGGGGAAGAGAGGGAAAGGGTTCTGATTTGGGAATTTCAGAAGACAGTGCCACAGTAGCTGGAGAAATAACATTCTGTGGGGATAACGTCATGGCTGGAGCCACAGAACAACTTTCAGAGGTGGGAGGAACCAAAGGTAAAGCAGTAAGAGCAGAAGTACCTTTCTTGGCTGGGTGGCTTTTAGGTGCTAAAGTGACAGTTCCTTCTAGAAAAGGGCTGGCTGTCGTTGTAGGAGTGGAGGTTCCTTTGGTAGTTGTAGGAGTCCCCCCAGAAGTGACAGCACTTTCCAAAGGAAATGTAGCTACACTTGGGGTAGTAAGAGAACCTTTGAGAAGCACACTGGTAGGGTCTGGACTTGCATAAGGATCTGTCTTGATTAGAGAGGCTGGGGAAATAGCACCCAGAGGAGAGGGAGTAACAGCAGCTGGCTTACCTACAGGCAGAGGCTCTACTTGGCTTTTGCTTGCTAAGGTGACTTCAGCACAGAGAGATATTTCCAGAGAAGATGTACTGTGGGGAGTGGGAGGATTTTGAGGGGCTGCCAGCGCCAATGGTAGTACAATAGGGTCTTTCTTGATAGGAAGTCCTGCCTGAGCTGGTGAAATAGGGGTTCCTACAGGAGAGGCAGGGACAGTTTGGTGATCTTTCTGTGTTGGGAACTTGACCAATTGTGAAGCAGGGAGACTTCTGAGTTCCTCAGGTGCTGGCAGAGGAGGGGAGCCTGGTATCCCCAGAGCAGTTGTTACCCAAGGAGAAGGAAGCTCTTTGGGAGCCACAGGTGCCATAGCCAAGGCAGTATGGGAAGCTGAGTTCTTATTACTTATGAGACCTGATGAAATTGGAGGAGACACACAAGTAGCATTTACTACCTCAAAGGTGGTAGGTGTGGCAGAAATTGTAGAGGGGTTAGTCATCACAAGTGAGGTAATTCCAACAGAAGAAACAGGAGCTTTTTTCAAGCCTGGACTTCCTGGAGAAGCAGGAGGCATCTGGGCCTCTAAGGGTGGCTGATGAGTGGCATTAGGAGAGCCTTTGAGGGTGAGAGGGGCTGTAGGAGATAAGGGAGAAGAGACAGCTGCATTTGAGGGACCAGAAGAGCTGTAGGAGGATACACTAGTGATGGCAGAGAGTCCCTTGTCAACAGATAGAGGCAGAGAGGAAGCTGGAGCCCCCACTGGAAAGGCAGCCACAGCAGCAGGAGCCACCTCATTTCTGGAAGGAGGGGGAGAAATTACAGATTGCTGAGAAGGGCAAGAGGCCCCTATGGAAGAGTGGTGTACAGAAATGGTATCCACTATAGAATCTGACGGAACATTAGGGCCTGTCTGACCTACACACTGGACAGGAGAACCAAGACAACTCTGTTGTAAAGGTACAAGATGAGAGCCCATAGGAGTGAGGAACACTGGGGGGACACTGGGAGTCATAGGAACAGACTGGGTTGGAAGAGGTAAGGCAGCAGGTGGAGTAACGGGTCCCTTTAGGCTGAGGCTTACAGAGTTTTGTGGAGAAGCCAGAGCTGAGGACATAGGTATGCCTCTGACCTGAGGGGAAGTGATGGCTAGGGGAGTAGTGGGTGGTGTCTGAGCACAGGAGGCTACTCCAGATTGAACAGAAGAGGCCAAGGGAGTTAAAGGCTGGGAAGGAACAGCATTGGCCGTATATGGAGGAATGGGGGTAACTTTTGGATTAGGGACTACTTGAGAGGGAGCTTGAATAGGAGAGGTCTTTGGTTCTGAGGAAGCAACGGGAGCTGACAGTGGTGTCACGGACCCTGACTTAGCCACAGCAGCTGAAGGAGGTGAACTAATAGGGTTAGGTGGATCAGCAGAGCTCTTCTGAACTGAGTGGGGAGGCAAGGCCACTAGAGTCAAGGGAGCTGAAGAGGGATGGGCACCTTTCAGAGTTGGAGTTATCATGGGAGATGCCAGAGCTAAGGCAGCTGGGGAGATGGGAGGCCCTATTAGGTTTGGTAGGAAAGCTGGGGTGTCAGGGAGCGTAGGGGCAGCTCCCAAGGGCAGGGCTGTCCCAGAGGACGCCTGTGGAAAAGGAGCTCCAAAAGGGGTAGAGGCAATAGTAGAGGGAGAAAGGAATGGGGTAGGCTGGTTAGGGGTTGTCAGAGGGAACTGTTGTGGGGGCAGGGAGCAAGGAGGGGGAAGGGATGGCACAGGCTGCCCTGAGGCAGCAGTGACACTCAAGGCTGAAGACACAGGAAGCACAGCTGGAGGAGAAAAGCAAAAAAGGGAATAAAGGCAAGGGAAGGAAAAAAATAAAGGTGAGTTATGCAGCCCAACTTGGTACAACATGTTTCCTAAGAAACACCAGAATTTTTAATCTGAGGAAAGTCACCACACAGGATTAGACAAAGGTGACAGGCAATAGCAACCCTTCCGAAACATAATTCAGGAGTCAAGTAAGAATACACCCCTCCCTTCCTTCCTTAAATGAACTCCCAGTCTTCTCACAGGCCATAGGATCACCACCACAAAAACAGCTGTTCCACCCTGTCCACCAGGGACCATGAACTAATTAAAACAGATACTGACAACCGGAATAAGGAAGGTAGTGAGTGTTGGTGATGATGAGGAATGAGACAAAACCAGGTCTTTATATGCTCAGGTTTCCACCAGGTCAGGAAAAACCTGACTCTTTGAATAAGGCTTAAAGAAGTGGGTGTCTGGCAGAATTAAATTCTTCATAACGTTGAAACGCTTCAGAATTTAATACTAAACCATTAAATCAGTCACTAAGCCTCCCTGTGCTTCAGCTTACTTACCCAAAACAAACATACAAACAAAAAGAACAAGTGAGTTGTACTCCATAGTCTACAGACCTTCCCAGGTAATGTTACCTCCAAACATCAATCTCAGATAATCAGACTGCCAGGGAGAGAGCTTAGTCACAAGGGTAGGGACTGTATTATAATACTGTAACCCAACTGGTTAAGCCAGACTGCGGTTCTATTTTGGAAGTAGGGAATTGCAGTGGAGAAAATACATTGGATCCCCACCCCTTAATGTGGATAAGTATGTCATTCTGTCAAAATAGACCAATATCTGGCACTAGAGTAAAGCTAAGCAAGATATTCTGAATGACAGAAAAATCCATGCTTACTATTCAGGAGGTAACACAGGAGTAGAATAACAAATGCTCAACACTTTGAAGGGAATATTTAAAATAAAACAAAACAAAAAAGCCTGTAGCATGCAAATTCACAATTTTCTTAAAGTATTGTAGCACAGAAAAGACAGGCAGCTCAACCAGTTTTTCTTGGAGGGTTGGTAGGTAAAAGTTTTATGATTAGCTTTCAAACATAATCAGAATTTGAAACTTAGAATGTTTTCCTCTGATGGGATAAGGACCAAATTACTTATTGACACCATAACCTATTTCCTGAGATAGTTTTCTCAGGTACTCTATTTAATGGCATTCCTTTTGAAGCTTGAAACCAAATTATTTGAAATTCATCTGAATTTCACTCTCTACATTTGTAAAATCAAATTGTTCAACGAGACCTGAGCATTTTTATTTAACACCGAATTACAGGATCTTTAGAGAGCAGCCCTTTAGTCCCCTATAGTTCAAAGATTTCACACAGCTCATTCCCCAAAGCAGGGACGCCCTCCCTTTTCTTTACCAGCAGCTGTATTAATCCCTTCAGCTGCTGAAATCAGACAGGTGGAGAGGGAGGACTTTAACACTTTCAACTATAAACAACTCTATTTTAATTCCAGAAGACGGGAATTGTTCTTAAGTGACAGGTGCAGTTAAAAAAAATTAATTTACTATAAGAAGAAAAAAAAAAAGATTACACCCTGAAGATTCCCTTCATTTAGTGTTGCACAACTCAGCAAGATCTTCATTAAAAAAGTAGTTTCACTAATCCCTTTCTCAAGTTTTATAGAGAAGCACTTTACCCAGAATTCAAAACTTGCCTTTACACCATGTTAATTTCAAAGCTGAAGAATAGTCAAAGGAAAGCTTTAATTCAATTCTGGGTTCCAGACAAGCTGTTGGACATCTCATCACCAATCCATAAAACAAGTAAACCGACCAAGAGGGTCCTTGGTCCCAGGAGGACACATTTACCACAGCACACATCTCATTCAGACACGTGATGAGGGCACAATGCCAAGCTCTGCCATCTAAAACCTTGATGCAACTTGCTGGCTGGACCTTCTTAAAAGCTCAGGTCTCCTTGGCCTGCCAGTGTGTCATGCAGTTCAAATAGGAAAGAATCACTGAGCCCCTGCCCAGCTCAGCTTTGCAGAGCTCCCTTGGAGGCAGTGGCCCCACCTACAGAACAGGCCAGGGAGCTTTCCACGTTCTTGAATCTTAAATATACGGTTTTCACCCCACTCCCAAACGAAGCCCCTTCCAAGGACAGCAGTTAATATCATGGCCGCTCATCCCCGACAGAGCTACAGCCTCACCGTCTCTAATGAGAGACAACTCTGAAAGACATAGGGGCATTCTCTTTGTCGCTGCACCCACCGAATGGCTTTAGGGTCCATCTCACCATCTGTCATCGGCGCGGGGACTAGGGGGTCCTACCTGTCTCAGCCTGGGGCTGTGGCAACTCCTGCTCCGTAGCAGGGACGGTTTCTGTGGCTTCGCCGGGCATTTCTGAAGGAAGTAAAAAGGAGGCCTGAATTGACCGGGATGGTTCTGCTGCCCCCAACCCAGAGGCAGGTATTTTTCAAAAACTGCAGAAAACCGTGGCGCAAAATCATCACGAGGGTGTTTGGGGACAACCCTCCCCAAAGGAGCTGGCAAGAGCCGGGAAGTGTGACGTGACCCGCACATCGCTAACCCGGCGAGTCGCCCCTTCTTCCCCGCTCCCCTCCACTCCGCGGAGGGCGGCCTTCCCGGTCCCCGGGGGCTCGTCTGATTCCCCGTTTCCAACCCCACCCCCCCACACGGCGGCCATCGGCACTGCGTTCGCACCCCGAGAGGGAGGGTCCGGCCCGGCTCCGGCCGCGGGAGACGGCAGACGCTCCTATGAACCACCTCTCTCCCCCCGTTCACGCCGCCCGGGCTGGACCTCCAGGTCTCCGTGTGCCGACTTTCGGGAATCAAGAGGGAAAAGAGGGAGCCTTAGCCCCAAACACTCGTCACAATAAGAACGACGTGTGCGTGTGTGTGCGGAGGGGGAGGGGGCGGACTTCCAAGGCCGTGACCCCTTCACCTCCTACGGGTGATCCTGAAGCCGTTCCCAGCCGCAGACACACTTCGCCTCCGCCCCCAACTCCGAAAAGGCTCCCACCACGCCAGCCCCGGACTAACAGCGCGGCCCGCGGCACTCCTGCCCGGCTTTTGCCAGGACACCAATCGCGGACCCCATTTTGTCCGGAGACACCAAAGCCACAATTCCCAGGGTCGAGTAGGAACGGGGGGGGCGCCACATAAAGCCTCTAACTCTCTTTAGGTCTCAGTCCCCCGGGGTGGCTTAGGCCGCGAGAAAGGCGGATGGTTGCGGATAGAGTAACAGCGAGGACACAACTTACTGTGCGGGGAACGCGGAACCAAGATGGCGGCAGAAAGAGAGCGAGCGACAGCGTGACCCACGCCTGTTGCAGGAGGAAGCCAGGCGGAGGGGGAGGGACTAGAGATCGCTTCCGGGTCAGGAGCGGCAGCCAGTCACTTCCTCTCACTAGAGACCCGTCCGCGGCCGCCTGTCTGTTCCCAGCAGGGGTGGTGACGAGTCTAAATAAGGATGAGGATTCAGAGCTGGACGCGCTGGCCTGCCGGGAGCTGTCTGCTCCGAGCCACGTGGTCCGAAGATAGCCGGCCCCTTCCGTCCCCCAGGTTGAAGCGTCTGGATACGTGAAGGAAGGGTAAATGCCACGAGAGAAGCAAGGTTGCTTCTGCAAATAGTGCAGCGTTATTATTTCGACTTTTGCTTTTCCTTTCTCAAATGATGCAGGAAATTATGAGGTTTTAAATAATATGGAATGCTACAGAGGTTGTATTCACACCATTGTAAGGTAGCAGTGACCTACAGGTTAACCCTTATTTTATTTTTGGAATACACAATTTTGACTGATGTTGAAGTCATATATAAAATTCTTTTTGCCTGATATTTTAGGCGCCTATTACATATCCTGAAACTCATCCATTTGGGTCCAGCAACCCACATTAAGTACCCATACAGTAGTATTCTTTTTATTTTTTTAGAGAGGGAGAGAAAAACACTGATTTTTAAAAAAAATTTTATTTTTAATTACAGTTGACATACATTTATATTAGTTTCAGGTGCACACCCCAGTGATTAGACATTACATAGCTTACTAAGTGATCATCTCGATAAATTTAGCACCCATGGCACCATACATAGTTATTAGAATATTATCAAGAAACATTGATTTGTTGTTACACTTATTTGTGCATTCACGGTTTGAATCTTGTATGTGCCTTGCCCAGGCATGGAACCTGCAACCCTGGCATATCAGGATGATGCTCTAACCAACTGAGCTACCTGGTAGAATACTACAGGGCCCAGTAATATTCTTGAAAAGTAGAATGTAAAATCAGTGTTTTGTTAATGAAAAGGCCCTGACTTCCATACTCTGTCAGCCCTACAAAAGGACTCAACAAATACAGTATTGTATTACCTGAACCGGTTAACGCTATTTGTTTGACCTATGGCTTTAAGACAATTGTGGCTGCCTTTTAAGGAAGCAGTGAACATTTAAAATGCTCTGAAAGCTACTTTAAAATTTTCAAAATCTTTACCATAATGAAGTGAGAATTAGGATTAGTGAATTAGGATTAAATGAGATAGTGGAGTTTACCAGGAATGAGAAATTCTTAAATTCTCTTCAGATAGGAGAGGCAACATTGTGGAGTGATTAAGAACACGGACTATGGGCCCTGGACAGGTAACTCGGTTGGTTAGAGCGTGGACTTGTTTAAACCAAGGTTTTGGGTTTGACCCCCGGTCAGAGCACATACAAGAAGCAACCAATGAATGCATAAATAAAAGGGACAACAAATCGATGTTTCTCTCTAAAATAAAAAAAACATGGACTCTGAAACCAGATTACTTTGAATCTCAGCTTGGTTACTTAATAGTGACCTTAGGCAATTAACCAATTTGTGCCTAATTTCCTCACCGGCTGATAATGGTAGTTACTTAATAGGATTGTTAGGAAGATTAAATTAGGTAAAATATGTACATTACTTAAAATGTATTTATTGTTACTATTTATAAACTTATAGATAGAATTTCTACCTAAGTAAATAAGTGACCTGGAAGATTAGTCAATGCAGTCTATTTACCTCGAGATTGTAATTGCCAATCAATTGTAATTGTCCAGCAATTGCCAATTAATCTCTTTAGACAAATAAACCTACCTACATTTTTACCATTCCCCTTTCTTTGCCAAAAAGCTCACTGACTTCTAACTCTGCTGTTAATAACTCATTAAGGAAGGGTCTTTTTTCTTTCTTTGGGTTTCTTTATAAATTGGGCAAGTTTGGAGATGGAAACCAGTTCTGTGCCCTTTGTTTCTGTAATTCGTACATATATAGGAGTTGGCAAATCAAATAAGAAAGTCCATAGTCTGACCTAGCTGGTTTGGCTCAATGGGTAGAGCGTCGGCCTGTGGACTGAAGGGTCCCAGGTTGATTCTGGCCAAGGGCACATGCCTGGGTTGCGGGCTCAATCCCCAGTAGGGGGCGTGTAGGAGGCAGCCAATCAATGATTCTCTCTCATCATTGATGTTTCTATCTCCCTCTCCCTTCCTCTCTAAAATCAATAAAATATATTTAAAATAAAAAAAGTCAATAGTGTTTTTTTTAAAAATACTTGCTTGAGGATATTTTTCCCATTGCTTTTCAGAGAGAGTGAAAGAGAGAAGAAACATTGATCCACAGGTTGCCTCCTGAAACCCAGGTATGTGCCCTTGACTGGGAATTGAACACAAGACCCTTCAGTGCATGGGCCGATGCTCTAACCACTGCACCACCAGCCAGGGTAGGGAAATCAGTAGTCTTTGAGCATTTTTCTGCTGTCTTCAGGAATCAAACATTTATTCTTACATGTGTATGATATGTTTTATAATTAATTTTATGGGCTAGTATACCAACTTTTATCCAAGGACTTTATATTGAAGTACTGACATACTTCAATATTAGACATATTGGAAGCTTAAAAGATCTCATTGAAAGTGTAACACCAGTCCTATTCTCATTCTGAGTTCTTAAGGTGAGCCAATGAGTCTTTATTAATTTTGTATTCAGGAATTTCAATTGATCCACTTTTTCCCCAAACTTGAAGACTGAACAATACATAGACACAGAAGCTCAAATAATGCAGAATTTTGAACCATAATCTTTAATATTTTTTCTTAAAAAATTAGAAGAGAAAGAAATGCAAGGCATTTCAGTATGTTTTTAAAAAAATACATTTTATTGATTTTTTTACAGAGCGGAAGGGAGAGGGATAGAGAGTTAGAAAAATCGATGAGAGAGAAACATCGATCAGCTGCCTCCTGCACACCCCCTAGTGGGGATGTGTCCGAAACCAAGGTACATGCCCTTGACCGAAATCGAACCTGGGACCCTTCAGTCCACAGGCCGACGCTCTATCCACTGAGCCAAACCGGCCAGGGCCATTTCAGTATGTTGACTGTATTATAGGGTTTGATATAAACCAAAAGATTATATAAAAAAAAGGGTGTGGCTATAGAGAAAACAATGTTAAAGGAAATGCAAATTCCTTTAATTTGAAATATTTTCATAAATCACAGAAAGTACCAGTCTGATAGCCTGCTTCCCAGTGTTTCTCAGAAAACAGAATGCAAACCAAAGGGGCTGTTTTTTTGTTTTGTTTTGAATCCTCACCCAAGGATATTTTTCCATTGATTTTACAGAGTGGAAGAGAGAGGGAAAGACAGAAACACCGATGTGAGAGAAACACATCGACTGGTTGCCTCCTGCACATGCCCTGACCAGGCCTGGGCTGGGGAGGAGCCTCCAACCAACACAGTGCCCTTGACCGGAATCGAACCCAGGACCCTTTAGTCTGCAGGCCAGCGCTCTATCCAGAGCCAAATGGGCTAGGGCAAAAGGGATGTTTTGTTTAGACTGGTTGTAAAACCAGAAAAAAGAAATCTGACACTTTAGAATCTATCACACAAAATCAAATACAGAAGAAATGAAAACTTTAAAGTTATCTGGATATATAGAAAGTCCAAGTGTTTTGACAAGTATAACTGGTTTTATGTTGGTGAAGTTGGTTATTTTTTTCTAAGCTGCTTCTTTATGATGTAGACTAATTGTTCCAATTGTTCTGTAATCTAAGAAGGAGCTACGATTACAATAGTTGTAAACAATACTCTACTAGGCCATCTACACTAATAAAAGAGAAGTATGTAAATTGGTCATCACTCCGCTACAACCACCAGCCAATCAGGATGAGTATACAAATTAACCCAACAAAGATGGCAGGTTAATTTGCATAAGCAGGCATGGAGCGAAAACTAAAGGCTCCAGCCCGAGTGAAGACTGAAGACTGAAGAGGCTTGGCTTCTCTGCTGCGGCCGGACCAAAGGCCTGGGGTCCAGAGGAAAACGGGTGCCGGCAGCCAGGGGAAGGAAGGCCTATTGCGTGAATCTTCATGCAACGGGCCTCTAGTAATATTATAACTTAGTAACTCACGTCTTTTGAATTAAAGTTTTGGTAGGTTTAGATGCTCAGTTTAAAATAACTTTTAAAAGATGGGCAGTGGGGTGTGGCCTGATCTATAAAACTACCAGTAAGCAAAGAAGTGACTGAATACACACTGCAGGTATAATTAAGTGTCTAAGACTTAAGGATAAAGCCTTCATTCACCTAGAATATTTATTCCCGAAATATGGATGTTGTAGTTGTATCCAGCAAGCTGAGATTAAAGTCTTGGACATATTACTGCTCAGTTACCTCTATATATAGCAACTGGTAAAAGTGAGTGTAACAGAAATCTTAGAATTATCCTATATAATAAAAGCCTAATATGCAAATTGTCCCTTCGACTGGGAGTTCAACCAGGGGGTGGGGCCGGCTGGCCAACAGCGGGAAGGGAGGCCCTGGCTGGCAGCCGCTAGGGACCCTACCTGTGCACGAATTTTGTGCACAGGGGGGGGGGGGGCTCCTCAGCCCAGCCTGTGCCCTCTCCCAGTCTGGGACCCCTCGGGGGATGACCATCTGCTGGCTGAGGCCTGATCCCCAGGGGATTGGGCCTAAGCTGGCAATCAGACATTCCTCTGGCAGCCCGGCAGCCCTCTGGGGATGTCCACTTGCCAGCGGGGAGCAGACCTAAGCTGCAGTCGGACATCCTTAGAGCTGCTGAGGAGGCAGGAGAAGCTCCCACCATCACCACTGTACTGGCAGCCATCAGCCTGGCTTGTGGCTGAGAAGAGCTCCTCCATGTGGGAGCGCACTGACCACCAGGGGGCAGCCCCTGCATTGAGCGTCTGCCCCCTGGTGGTCAGTGTGTGTCATAGTGACCAGTCATTTCTAGTCTTTCTGCTGTTAGGGTCAGTTTGCATATTACCCTTTTACTATATAGGATAGAGGCCTGGTGCACGGGTGGGGGCCGGCTGGTTTGCCCTGAAGGGTGTCCCCGATCAGGGTGGGGTTCCCGCTTGGGTGCCTGGGCAGCCTGGATGAGGGGATGATGGCTGTTTGCAGCTGGTCACACACCCTTCAGGGTGGGGGTCCCCACTGGGGTGCCTGGCCAGCCTGGATGAGGGGATGATGGCTGTTTGCAGCTGGTCACACACCCTTCAGGGTGGGGGTCCCCACTGGGGTGCCTGGCCAGCCTGGATGAGGGGATGATGGCTGTTTGCAGCTGCTCACACACCCTTCAGGGTGGGGGTCCCCACTGGGGTGCCTGGCCAGCCTGGATGAGGGGATGATGGCTGTTTGCAGCTGCTCACACACCCTTCAGGGTGGGGGTCCCCACTGGGGTGCCTGGCCAGCCTGGATGAGGGGATGATGGCTGTTTGCAGCTGCTCACACACCCTTCAGGGTGGGGGTCCCCACTGGGGTGCCTGGCCAGCCTGGATGAGGGGATGATGGCTGTTTGCAGCTGCTCACACACCCTTCAGGGCTGCCAGCCGCCATCTTGGTTGGCAGTTAATTTGCATATCACCCTGATTAGCCAATGGGAAGCGTAGCAGAGGTATGGTTAATTACCATGTTTGTCTATTATTAGATAGGATTAAATTTTTACTTATTTATCTGCAATCAACTTATTCTGCCCATTACTGTTCCTTCCAGCAACCTGGACACTGCTTTGGTGGTCTTAGGAATCTTTTCAACATAATTATTTCTCAAGAAAAGGAAATTTTGCTTTGAGTATTAAAATGCATACAAGGGCCCTAACCGGTTTGGGTCAGTGGATAGAGCGTCAGCCTGCAGACTGAAAGGTCTCAGGTTCGATTCCAGTCAAGGGCATATACCTTGGTTGTGGACACATCCCCAGTAGGGGGTGTGCAGGAGGTAGCTGATTGATGTTTCTCTCTCATCGATGTTTCTAACTCTCTATTCCTCTCCCTTCCTCTCTGTAAAAAATCAATAAAATATATTAAAAAAAATAAAATGCATACAAGGTTCTGCCATATTTATTTCATGACTCTTCAAGTGTTTGATTCTTGGTTGAAGATAGAAGTTATCCACATTAGTTAGAGGGGAGTTGTTATCTTCAGAAGTCTTTTTGTAAATCTAAAATAGAATAGATTTTTATCAGAGGATAGTAAAGGAAAACAAAACAAAGCTCACTCTGATTTGCTTAATGCTTCCACTAAATTAAAAAAAAAAAGGCTGTGTGGCATAAAGATTTGCTTTCACATTTACTGAAGCCCACATTATAGGCTGGGCTAGTACAGAACAAGAATACAAATATCACCAGTTGGAATGGCAGCTTTAACAAGGCTTTCCAAGTTCAGAGTCATTATTGTTCATTCAACAGGCACATATTTGAGTATCTACTATGAATAGAGCATTATTTTAGGCACTACTGTTTAGCCATCACACATTTTATTATGAAGTGGAAAGGGAGTTTATATTTCTATAATGTTGGCGCAGTTTTCCATGGTATTCATCAATCTCTTAAATAATATTCACAACTGATTTTTTTTTTTTGGCGTACACATATGCTCTGGTCTCTCCTATCCAAAGAATGCTTCCTTTGACACTGCTATACTCTTAGCACCTCCCTCTAGTTCCTATATTCAACAGGATTTTATCAGTTACCTATTGCGTTTGAAACTTGATGTTCTTGAAACTTTACTTTCTCCTGGTTTCTGTGGCACTTTTACCTCCATCTTTCATCTCTCCACTTGTAAATCATTACCGAGTCTCAAGGATTGCAGCTTTTGGGGATCTCCAATGCTGTCCTAATGGTAACAGCCCAATTGGCCTTTTGGGTTCTTTCTACCCCCTACCTCTCCAGATATACTGTTGTTAGATTTATCTTTCTAGACAAAACTACAAATCATGGCACTCCCTTCCTTAGTCTGCTTCTTCAGATTTCTAGCTCATCACTTCCTGACACATCTTTTTCCAGATTAGCCATACTACTTGATGGCATCCACAGTGATCCAACGCTTTTTTGTCTCTATGCCTTTGCTTTAAGAATGAATAACCGGTCTCCTTTTTCCATTCCTATACCCCGATCTTATCAAATCTCTGCTTGTGGAAATACTACTCATACTTTAAGGCATGGTA